TCGTCGGAGTCAGCATTTACCTCGACAAATCTCCTAAAGTGCATCTACGACTCTCCTATAGTGCATCTACGACTCCAGCTTTGTCCACGTTAAAGCAGTACATGGACAGACCCTGATACTCCTAAAGCAGTACGTGGACATCTCCTAAAGGCTACCTCCTTCAGCTTCAAGGCAACCGACTTCTTTGGCCACCTGACACCTCGACAAATCTCCTAAAGTGCATCTACGACTCTCCTACAGTGCATCTACGACTCCAGCTTCGTCCACGTTAAAGCAGTACGTGAACAGACCCTGATACTCGTAAAGCAGTACGTGGACATCTCCTAAAGGCATGACACTGTGACAGAGTGATAGGACTGAAGGTGAAAGGGTGTTTTTTTTCCGATGCAGTGAAAGGTTGCTTCATCATCAATCTTTAAAATCATCTTCAATTTTCATTTTCATCTCATTTCTTCATCCATTTTTTTTAAATAAAAAAAGAAAAAAGCTTGAGTTGAATAAATAATTAGGAAGTGAGTGAGAGAGTCATGGAAGGAAAGGGAGTATTTAAAAATGGAGGGAGTATTTCTATTCATTTTTTAATGCACCATAAGGGTTGAGTACAATTTTTTCTAGTCCTAGTGGAAAAAAGGATAAGAGAGAAAATTAAAAATACAAAATTGTTAAAAGTAAAGTTATATTTGGTATTTAATTTGTGAACACAAATTATTTTTTTTTTTAAAGGTGATATTTCCTTAAAAGACATGTGGTGCAATATTTGTGATATTTCCTTAAAATACAAGTAGTGCAATATTTAAATAATGAAAGAAGTATTTTTAAAAAAAATTACAATAATTTATAATTCAATAGTATTTTTACAATTTATTCTCTAAAAAAGTGTGATAAAAGTCCATATTTTTTAAAATTTTAATGTAAGTATAATTAATTTAGATTGTACCTGACTACTTATATGATATACAATAATATCTTTTTAATAATTAAGTTGCTTAATTTTCTATATCTAGTTGCTAAATGCATGTCTTATTGATATTGAGAGGGAAATATTGTATTTTTAAAATTAATTTTGTTCTTAATATCTAAGATTTGGAAGATATTATAGTAAATTAAATATTTCTTAAGATGCCTAGGCAAAAGAAAATATGAGAAACTAACCACAAATTTGATAATTCACTTTTTATTTAAATTTAGGATTTTTTGTAAATAACCACCCCTAATTGTACCCTATGTTGATTTAACCACCCATTTTTTTTGAAATTAAAAAATACCACCCCTAATTTACAAAACCAGTAGGTTTTACCACCCCTACCACTATTCCGACCAGTTTTCCGGCCAATTTTTGAGTTAGTATTTTATAATAAAAAAAATAAACTACAAAAAAAAAAAAAAAAAAAAAATTGAAACCAATCCATGCCACCTCCGGTGGCGCAGCAGCCCTGCCATCTCCGGCACCTCTCTTCCCTTTCCCGTCTCTAGCACTCCCTTCTTTTCCCGTCTCTAGCACTCCTTTCTTTTTCCGGCCTTATTTTCGGCCCCCTTCCTTTCCCCCTCAACAATTTCAACCCCCTCCTTGTTTTAGGATAGTTTCGGAGTTAGGGTTTCAGGTGAGGAGTTTCAGGCTATTAGGGGATTACAGGGCTGTGGAGGGTGGCTTAGGGTTTCGTTTTCAGGCGAAGGGTGGGGATACGAGTTTTAGGCGAGGGATTAGGGATATGTTACGGTTTTCAGGCGAGTGAATGGGGAGCGATTGGTGCTTCTGCGGGGGTTTTTCAACAAGATGTGAGTTTCAGGGTGGAGGAGGGCCCGAGGCTGGGGTTTTTAGGCGATTTAGTTTGCCAACAGTTGGGGGAAGATTGGTTGCCGACAAGGAGGTTGTGTTGGACGGATGTAGTGAAGGTGGAGGGGGAGAACGAGGGTGGTGCTGGTTGATGTGGGTGGTCCAACCAGAGGGTGGATGTCCCGGTGGCAGGAGAGAGGATGGTTGCTTTTTTAAAAAAAAAAAAAAAGTTTAAATTTTGTTATTTTAGACCAATAGGATAGTGACACATGGACCCTCAATCAGAAAACCAGCCGGAATATAAGAGGGGTGGTAAAATCTATAGGTTTTGTAAATTAGGGGTGGTATTTTTTAATTTTAAAAAAATGGGTGGTTAATTCAACATAGGGTACATTTAGGGGTGGTTATTTACAAAAAATCCTTAAATTTAAATTTTTGATTTGCTCTTGATACGAAAGCATGAAAACTAGAAAATTAAAGGCATATTCACTTTAGCTTAATTTATGTTCATTTCAGCTTCAATTAGTTCAGTTCATTTTAGTTCAATTCAATTCAACTCCTAATTTCCTTCTCTCATAAAAAATTCATTTCAGCTCTAATCTGTTCAGTTCAGTTCAATAAATGCGAACAAGCCCTAAGTTCATGAAAGGAATATGATTGTATTTCTGCCAATATTTAAATTTATATTCAAGCATGAAAATGATTTAAAATATAGTTAACATAAACCAATAATAAAATAAAGTGGTACGAGTACATGAAATGGAACAAATTAGTGGGAAAAGGATAAGAACTTAGGGGCTGTTTGGTTCACACGGGGTAATCGGAATGGAGTGAACAAAGGGAAAGACAAGGAATGAAATGAAGATACCCAAAATTTTCTATGTTGTTTGGTCTTTAAAAACAAGGGGATTGAGGACCACCAGTCCCACCACCACACATCCATCTCAAACCTTCACTCTCCACCGTTTCCAGCCACCAAACCACTCGCCGCACCTCCCTCCCCCTTCGCCGGTTGAACCCCGCCCCTCGCACAGCTCTCCCCGCCCCTCGCAAAACCTCCCTCAACCCTGAAAAACTACCCTCAGCCCCGAATAAACCCTAGAAACCATTCTCCCTCGCCGTTTGAGGTGCGACAACCTCCGACGAGGGTTGAGGGAGGTGCAAAAGGGGAAGCGATGAAGTTTATCGAGAGATCGGTGACGTGCGAATAGATTGACAATTTCGATGCAGGGGAGAGTCGGCGAGAGGCGGCGAGGATCGGGTAGGACGGTGGTTGGGTAGGTAGGAAGGTGGTGATGTGGTGGTGGTAGGGAATGGGAATGGGAATACCTAGGGGGTGGGGAATGGACTTAGAAGGATTTGGGGGAATGGAAGGGGGAAAGGGAATGAAAAAAAAAGGGGTAACAAACAGCAACAAAGGGAATCAGGGTGATTGATTCCCTTTCCGTTTGATGATTACCCCCAACCAAACGGCCCTTTAGAGTTCCTAGCTTCGGTAAGTTTCCTACTATTTTAAAGTATTTTTTGAGATTTCTGCATAATTACAAATCCCAAGATAAAAAAGACTTTAATGAATGTTTAAAAAAAAAAAGGACTTTAATGAAGTTCTTGTGCCAGATCTTCAGGTCTCTCCTTGATATTGTTCCTTTTCAGGATTTTTATGGTATACTTAGTTTACAGATTGATCTTTATAGAATTTTCGTGCTTCAAGCTTTCCCGTAGTCCTGCTTTCGACTTATGAACTTATTGTCACACACTCACACAACACACTCAAGAATATCATTCGTTGAATTTTTTTTATTTTTTTTATTTTTGACAAGAAGAAACTAAAACTAAAGATTACAAAAGGATAACAAATTGGTTCTGCACCCGTTGGCTAGCAAGTGGGCTCTGTCACTTGTTCTTTCCCGACCTTCCAAATGAGACACCCCCTAAACTTCTTCCTACTCTTCATATTTCCTTTACTATCCACATGAGTCCAATATCCTTATGATCAGGACTCTTCAATCTCTGTACTAGTGTTGCAGAGTCAGTGTAGATCTTTACCTTCTCAAAATTCTTCTGACGTGCCCAGGTGAGCGCTTGCTGGCATGCTTGGAATTCTAACTGCACCACTGAATTAGTTTTTCCATACGACCCACCCCCATCCTCAAAATTTGAACCATCTACAGAGTAGCTCCATCTAAACCCTGCATTTCCCGTATGCTTCTGTCAAGACCCGTCTATCTCAATCAGCACATCCTCATTCCTATTCCACCCTATACTCCCTTCGAAGCCCAACTCAAATCGTAGAAAGCCTGGTGGGGGGTCCTGTATGCCTATTCCCAAGGTTCTCCTCCCCCTCATAAATTCCTCCCGGCTTCTGGAATATTTTTCGAGAATTACAAGAAGACTCAAAATTTCTCAAAAATGCTAGTAAACCTCCAACTTCAAACTTGAACACCCTTGTATTCCTTGTGATCCAAAGACTCCATAAGACTGCGATGAAAATCTCAATATGGTCACTGTGTATACCATCCTTGCTATAAAAGAGCAGGATACATACATTGCATGTTTATAATTACTCTAAGGCTTTGTTTGATAATTAACAATTAGCTGATTAGTTAGATCTGTTAGCATTAGCTAGTAAACTAACTGGTTACATTAACTGTTTTGACTAATAACTAATTGGTAAGAGCTTACTCCGTATTTAGCGGGTTTTGGGTGCCCCCTGCCACACAGTGTGGCAAGGTGCCACATCAGTAACCCCTCTAGGAACCCCACTTATAAGTAACCCCTCAAATAACCCCTCTAGTAACCCCACTTAAGTAGGGGTGGCAATTCGGGTTAGTGGGTCAGGTTCGGGTCAGATTTCGGGTCAATTTCGGGTTATGCTTAGAAATAATCAAAAATAGTGTAAAACTTAAAATTATTACGAAATGAAATTTTGGTCAAATCGGGTCGAATTCGGGCTATTCGGGTTCGAATCGGGTCGGGTTTGGGTTTCTCTCAGTTACTTCGGGTCGAGTTCGTTCGGGTTATCGGGTCGGGTCAGGGATTGCCAGCCCTACACTTAAGTAACCCCTCAAGTAATTCATCTAGTAACCCCTTAAGTAACCCCTAATCAACAAAGTCTTAAACTCCAAGCCACCACTACAATTCACCAAAACCACAACACAAATCCAGATCCAACCAAACCGTAAAATAAAAAAAAAAAAAAGTCGAACAAATACCTTAAAAATTAACAATGACTTCGAATTTCACTTCAAATATGGCTGAAAAAGGCCAATTCGACCATGAAAACTCTTCTAGAGCTAGATTTTTCATGGTTGAATTTGGCCTTAAAAACACCACTCACGAAACCACCAAAAACCACCACTACCAACGAATGAACCACTAACGAACGAACCATGTTAGAGAGAGAAAGTTTGAAAGGGAATATTAAAGGAGAGATGAGAGGAGAGGAGAGGATAGATCTTAGAGGAGGAGAAGAAGAAAAGAGGAGACAGAGAAAAGAAAGAAGTAAAATAAAAAATATATATATTGTGGTTGGCCGCACGGTACGACCAATCGCATATAAAAGTTTGTGCTCCGTATTATGTAAAGTTGTTTGATAAAATTACCTTATTAGTTATAGTTGTATGTTACTTGAACACAAGAAAAGACAATTTAGGACATAAGCAATTTGTTTTTACTTGACTACGGTAAAAAAGTGGGAGGGCAAGAATGTGAATTAGAGTAACATATTGATATAAAATTGTCATTTGACATCGATTACTTAATAAGCTAATCTAAAAAGCTCCATTTTCTTAGCTTTTTCCAATTAGCTTATTTGACTCAATCAACTCATTTAAAAAGATTTTTTTACCAAATAAACAGAATAGATATTTTATGTAGTCAAACCTCAAACTTGGTCAAATAAGCTCATTTTTTTAATCAAAACTCGAGCATGGCTTATTTTGTATTCAGGTAAAGATCAGGTTTGTAATTTAGTTTAGAATCTTAACATACCTTTTTTTTATCATGGAATTATGTAGAAGATAGCTGAGGCATCCCTAGCCCCTAGGGGCTTGTTTGGTTACACAAAGAAAATAAGGGAAGGGAAAAATCATGGAAATTTGAAAAATGGATAAGTTGTTTGGTTGACAATAAAAATTGTAGATGTGATAATTGCACATTCATGGGAATTGTGACTTCCCACAAAGCATGGGAAGTTAATTACTCAACCTCCCCCTCGATATTCTCATGATTTAGAACTTCCTACATACCAACCAAACAATTTTAGGCAATTCTTAGTAATTGGTTGGAGGTAATGAATTCCTATGAAATACAAATTCTCAAATTTTTATATCAAACAAACAACACCTAGATTATTTCATGTTTTTATGTTTCTTGAAAAATTATTTCTTACTCCATCTGTCACTTAATTAGATACCTACTTCTAATATTACACGGAAATTAAGGAATTTGGAGTATTCTTAAAACCCATGACTGGGAAGTACAAAGGGTATTAAAAGACATTTGTAGATTTCTTTGAATAAAAGAAAATTAAACAAAAATAAATTAAATACTTGTACATGTCAGCAATCCTTTAAGGAAAACAAAAAGGATCAATGACATTTTTTTATGAAAAATAAAATAATCAATCAAATTCATTTAATATGCTGCTGTAGACACCTAAAAATGTCTCCCCAAAACTAAACCCGATGATGAACACCTTTCACTGTCATTATTGGTCGGGTTGAGTATTTAATCTTTGGAGTGCTTAAATCCATGTTCTATCCAATATATTTCATAAACCAATTTATTTCCTAGCTCATTTCCCTAAACCATAGCTTGTTATCCACTTTCCGTGTCCACATCGCAAAACCGAGAGAAACTGATTTTTTGTCTTATAATTTTGATCCAATTATTATTTGATTGGATAGTCCTTTTAATAAAATTTCCAACTATATATCATAAGCCCAATTCCGAGCTATAACGAAAAAGATATGAGCAAAACACTAAACTCGGCTTAAAACCGACACCCTTCCACTAAAACGACCATATCTTAAAATCTACAAATAATTTTGACCTGATTCTAATTGGGTTGGAAAGTAGACTTGATAATATTTCCAATTATATATTATCTTCCTTATTCCAAGTTATGGATCAAAAGTTATGATGATTTTAAAAACGGGTAAAAAATTGGAATCACCGCGCACAGTGTAAAAGCACCGTGTCACGGGAGTGTGCCTCGTCTGACGGTGCCTGAAGCCGTGACTCAGTACTATACATCGTGTCACAGTGCCATTTTTGAAGCTTTTTCGCGTCAAATTCCACCGTGGCACGGTACCTTTTGCCGTGACACGGTACCTGCTGTCGTGACACGGTATTTCTCACCATGTCACGGTGCTTTTTCCGTGTAATTTCCGCGTTTTCCCATACCATGACACGGTGTATTGTACCGTGCCACGGTGTACACTTCCGTGTCACGGTACGTGTGCCGTTTCACGGAATTTTCTCGTGTCTTTTCTGCGTAAACCCTTCACGCATTTTCACTTCCCGTAGGTCAAATATGTCCCGCGTCACTCCAATCTTCCCCGCGTCACGGGATTTTCCCCCTTCTGACGGTGCCTTCCCCCGTCTTACGGTGCCAGGCCAGTGTCACGGTGCTCTTTTCCGTGTCACGGTGTTATTTTTTAGGGTTTTAATCTTTTTAGGGTTCCGCGTGTTCCCTCTACTCATTTTCCCTACAAATACCCCCCTCCTTTCTGCAGTTCGGGGCATCAAATCCTTCCCTCTTTCTCTCTTTTACACAAAAAATCATTCTCTTCTTTTTATCTCATATTCTAAGCCTTAAACCTATATTCCTAATTACACTATTCTTCCCTTAAGCACTCCAAGGAGTCTATACTTAACCCGAGTTTCCGTCCTTAAATCAAGGCGTGAAAGGTACAAATAACTGAGGGTTTGGACCAAATCAAATCTATATTAATTTAATTTAATTTTCATTTGCTTTATATTATTTTATTGAAGTTACTAACAGTTTATTCATGATGTAGCAATTTAAAGGAACGCGCGGAATGTGAGTAATTAATTAATTTAATTACTTATTTTATTTTTATATTGCTAATATCATGATTAGGTTATTTTATATTTGATTTTACTAACGCTATTATTGTTAAATTGCTTCCAATATTGATGTTTATTCTATTTGATCACCATATTGCATTTTAAAGGGAATATGTAATTGAAAATAACGCCTAATAAGATAATTTGGACAACCGGTTTAGGTTCCCTTTAATCTTGTTGTTTAATCAAGTGATCACTTATATTTTAGAATAATATGTTACATTAATATTAAACCAATTTAGCTTAATAATAGTTAGAGCAAATTGAGTATTTTATTTGCATGCCTTTGAGATCACAGGAATCACTTTTCACTATAAGAATCGAGTATAGGCCAATACGGGCGAATGTGACTCCATGGCTCACTTCGTACCATCATCCCCGATCCTCCTTTCGTGGTTCCAAGCCATATGGAGTTAGTAATCTCATGGATTATGAATGGGGTGTAACCTTCACGGGTCAATCTTTGTTGCCTATCGTTGTCCCTTATTCGTGGTTGCCTTTTATGATCCGTGAACGGTTTACAAGTTCCTTAAAAACTTATTGGCGGCTTCCTACTTTCCTCGTCCCTAATCGTATATGTCAATTCCCACTTCCTATGAGTGTCAAGCATATTCACACATGCTTTAATGTAGGCGCACTTTGAGCGACGCCTACAGCTGCACATGAATTGCATGTGTTTAAATGGGGAATGCGGAGGAGAGAGAATTAAATGTTTATGTGCAACCATTAAATGCCAAAACCAAAAGTAAATACAATAGTGCCACATCACACTGATTTAGGGACAATTTAGGGATATTTTGGAGAATAAAGTTAGAGAATAAGGATAATTTGTTAAAAATCACTTACTAAAAAAGGAAATATACATCTAATTTTGAAACTCTTAAAAAGGAAACTATGCATCTAATTAAGGGACGAAAGGAGTAATAAGCTAATATTTCAATTTCAACTTATCAGGAAATTTTTTGCAAGATGATACCAGTCATCAAATTTTTATGGTTTACTTAAAAATTCCAGCATTAACTAGTATGTCATCTAATTTAGGAGGGCTTTATATGAAAAGTGATGTGAGTAATGTAGTTTGGAGCAAATTTTATGAAATTTCTTAACTATATATTCTAATATTTATTTGTAATTATTTAGCTCTAGAATCTACCAAGAGACTTGCTAATTAGTCACGTTTTAAAATTTTCCACAAACATCTTTTTTTTTTTTTTTTTTTTTGGGTAGTATTGTCACAATACTAACTATTCTGTCGCGTCCAAGTCACCTTAATGTTACACACATTATTGATACCATGGTGGAAACTTTATCACAAACAATGATAGATCATTAGATCTCACTACATAAAGCAAAATATGATGAAAGTTGATTTTAGATGCAAATTACATAAAAGAACAACCATTAAAACATTGAAATCTCCTTTTTCCAAATAATTTTTTGAGTTGTGAGGCCATTATATTAGTGACAAGAGCTAGACTCCAAACCACCATTATCTCCAATAATGAGTTTCAACTAATAATGTTGTTAGGTATTGAAAGCCATAAAGCTAGCTAGTTTAGTTGTAAAATTACTATTGCTTGTTTATTTTCCGACAAGTCTTATATAGAGATTATGAATTGAAATTGAAGTTATGGTAACATTTTAGCAATAATATTATGGGACCAACTAACCATATAATTTTGTGGTGTTGTGCATAGCTCTACTCACATCATCCTATTTCTTTTCTATCAATGATAAATAGGGGAAGAAAAAGTGTCTAATGATGGTCGAGTCCTATTGCTACAAGTATACAAAGAAGCAATTAGAGCTTGATCATTTCTTATTAACGTATATATATAAAAGACTATGATGTAAATTAGGTTTAGTCCGCACTAGCTCTTGAGGTCAGTAAAGGTTAGTGTTTGATCAATTCAAATCGCTGGTTGAAAGTTGTAAAAGTGTTTGATGAGCTAGCACTTAAAGTATTAGCTTTTGACAAGCATTATTAATTTTAATGTTCCAACTCCAAAAGTAGACATTTAATAATGCCATTCAACATCTAAATTGACATTAAACGCTACTCAAATGTTAAAAGCTATCTCCGCTGTCACCACTAATTTTGTTGAACAAAGTTAAATTTGAAATTAAATCTCGAATACCACATGCAAAGGTAAATTAATTGGTTCAACATAATAATAAGCATCAATTTTAAGGGGTCGTCAGTTATATTACTTGAAAAATGGGGAACGAATGAAGTAGACACGAGGGGAACAAAAGATCACACATCTAAGTTTTGCATGGTCGGGCAATTTGCAATTTTGCTCCTTATTTTACTTGGCTAAGAACTTATGACAATTTTCCACTCTGGCAATGCAGATACTATACTATATAAGCAAGACTATTTAGGATAAGATTATTGGGCTATTATAGGATTTGTCGTTTGTTGTAAATACAAAGTACTCATAATTTATTTGCCGCAAAAGGTGTAGATAGTACTAGTATGTGCTTCCTCGCTCTAGGCTAATTGATCTTGTTTCATTACTCCCTCTGACCTTCTCTCCTGTAAATATCGTCAAATATTACACGCATATGCACATATTTATATTTTTATTATATTAGTAAAAAAATTATAGTCCGTTTACTCCCTCTGACCTTCTCAGCCGCTTACTTCTTATTCAGTAAGTCCGTTTTGGAAAATCCTTTGGTCCCTGCAGTTACAGCCAAAGTGGAAACTATTTTTATGGAACTTATTCCACAACGGTTTAGCGGTCAAAAGTGAGCTTCAACGCAGGGGGGTTCCCATACAGGATGTGTCCTGTGATCAATGCAGTACACAACAGGAAGATTTCAACCATCTGTTTCGAGATTGCACTATTGCAAGAACAGCTTGGAGGAGTGGTGCCTTGGGCATCCATTCAGAATTACATGGACACCTTTCTCTTTCAGATTGGATCCAAGACTATATCCGACTTTTCATTAGTCAGGATGGACTTTTCAGTCCCAGTATTAGCACCTTTGTTGGTACTCTATGGGGTCTTTTGTTATTTAGAAATAACAGGGTTTTCAATCCTGACACTTCTGTCACAAGACCCTTTGATCTGGAACTAGTGGATATTCTTCACTCTCATACTATCTATATGGACGTGGACACAGGGAGGGAGCTTTCTCTCTCTCCTGCTGATCTCCCGGGTTTGCCCCCGCCTGGGTTTCATGTAGCCCATTTAGGGCACAACCACTCAAGCTCATCATTCTTAACGATTCAGGTAGATGGTTTTTGGTTCAAAGACACACAACAAGCAAGAATGGGTTGGTGTCTCGACAATACAGATCCTCTGGATGATAGGATTGTTGGTGGGAGTAATTTTGGGTTTTGCTCCTCTTCTCTTCACTCGGAAGCCTTAGCCTGTTACTATGCCTTGCAATGGGCTTTAAATGCAGGCATTCAATCGTTTCATCTGTTTACATATTCTTACAATCTGGTCACTCTTCTGCGCGGCGATGGACGAGGGGATATCCGGTATTTATGGCTGGTGCAACGAATCCAACGGGTAGGGTCTACCTTCCACCAGTGTAGTATTTATAAAGCTGATCGGGCACGCGTTCACAGGGCGCACCAAATTGCAGGGGAAGCTGCTGTCCATCTCATTTGCTTTAGCAGTAATTTGTTTTAGGTTCTGTCCTTTTATCCTTTGTCAAAATATATATATATATATATATATATATATATATATATATATAGTTAAATCTAATAGATAAATAATAATAAAAAAAAAAAGTTTAACTTTTCATGTATTGTGAGACGAAGGAAGTATTATATAAGTGATTATTAGCTTATCAAAAAATTAGCAACAATATGATATAAAACAACAATATAATTCCTTTTTTTTTTTTTTCTTATGAGTTGCATCATTTTCTCAAAAAGAAAGTTTTAAATTAGTTGCAACACTTTCTTTTTTAACTAATAAATTCACTCTTATCTTTATCTTACCACATATATCTCATTTATTTTGTTCTCTCGACCTCTCTTTATCCCGAAATTGTGTATGAGTTCGTAAAATCAAAAGTAATGCAACTAAAAAAACAGAGGAAGTAATATGATTGATTTTTAAAACAGATCTTTTAGGCCAATATAGCTTAAAATTTTTTTTTTCTTTTTTTTCTTTAAAGTTACTTTTCTCCTAACCACGGAGTTGGACACAAAATTTTATGTTCAAGCCAGGCAATTTTAGATCAAGTTTGGGCCATTATAATCCACTCTTTTTTCTTTTTCTTTTTTTTTTTTTTTTTTTTTTTTTTTTTTTTTTTTTGACAACTCTAATTTTATTTGTCCTTCGTTTTTCTTTGTTAAGGGTAAAAAAGCTATGCTACTTTCAAAATCATACTTTGGCTTTAAATTACGTTTCTTATATAGTTGGGTTAGTTGACTAGCTAGTGCGGGTATCGGTTTAATAAAGTCATTTTCTTTACTAAAATAACCATAATAATTAAATAAGAACACACAATTCCAATTACTCCATAACCAAGTGGATAAACCAATAATAATTATACAGTTATATTGACTTTTAATTTATTAAGGGGATTTACCTGAAAAGCACAAGAGAGTATAAACTACAATGTATGTATCAATCAACCCCAACATATTTGACTCGTTCATTGGATAACAATCGTAATCATGCAATTTAATGCAATTTGCAAGCCTCCAATTATTCTTTAAGTCCATGCATTTTAGGAATTGTCAAAATTAGCTAGCAAATGGTCCATTGTTTGTCAATTAGAGGAATTTAGATAAGAATGGAAAATAACAAGAAATAGTCATGTTTCATTTTCACTACATTAAACAAGAAAAAGAAAGTAGGGTAGATTAGTGTGGGTTGGTCTAGTAAATTTATATACTTCCTCCGTATTTATTTTATTGCACCATTAGGACTTTTACACTATTCACTTATTCTTCTTTGACCATCTTATCATTTGTGATTTATCCATCAGGAAAAACATAGTCATGTAAGATCTAGTTAGATTCGTCTCGAAATCTACTTTTTAATTATCAAATTTTTATAATTTTTACAAAATTATAATTGAAGATATTAATAGCTAAAGTAATGCATTGACAAGCGTGAAATCTCTCATGGTGGAATATAAAAAGAACGGAGAAAGTATGAATGTTTGAATAGTGTAGATTAGCTTATAAGAGTACCAAGCCATAAGTAACCTAATAAGGTTTGACCCCATTACTAGTGAATTGTTACATAATTTAATACGATATTTTTCTAGGCATTAGTTTGGGAGATAGCATATTTTGGGCTAGTTATGGCCTTGTTTGGCAAAATGGCTGTTGGCTGGTTCACTTGGCTTGTTTGACCAGCTGAAATATTTGGCTGTTTATAATGGCTTTTGAAATTGGCTGTTTTATAAAAGTGTTCGGTTAAATTAATTGTTGGTTGTTGGCTGTTTATTAGATAATTTGTGGGTCAACAAGCCAAAAGCCAACAAAAAAAGCTACTCAAAACAGCTTTTTCATTTTGGCTTAAAAGCCAGCTTTTTCGCTGACTAAAAAGTCAATTATCAAACACATTTTTTGGCTGTTTGACCACCTAAAAAAGCCAAAAGCTAACCAAAAATCCATTAAAAAGCCAATTACCAAACATGGCCATGGTCTCCTATCTTAGTATGTGTTCCCACTCAGTAAAATACGTTAACACCCTTTTAGGTAGTTTGAGAAAACTTGCTCCAATGGTAAGTCGAAAATGCATGGTTCTATACGCTTATAAATAGAGTAGTAAAGACTAAAGAGTGGCCGGATGTATATTAGAGTACGAGGTCTGACCTAAAATTATATTCTTAAATTAGTTGGGGATATCAATGATGCGGCTCTCGCCTTATCACCTATGATCGATGGTATGAAATCCATCCCAAATCTTTAAATTCCAAAGTGCTACACCACAATTTTGTCATATATTTTTAAATTATTACTAATTAAAAAACGCATAACTCCACAAATGCTTATTTTACTCATAAGTCATATAAGTAATACTGCGTATTAGTTTATTCAGAGGATTTTCAGTGCGACAGGGGTTACTTGTATTTTAGAGTTACTAGTATTTTGGGATTACTTATATGGGTTACTTGTAGGGGTTACTTATATTATGAGGTTACTTGTATGTGTTACTTATATCGTGAGGTTACTTGTATTCTGGGTAACTCCTACAAGTAACTCCATACCAAACCAGTAACACCCTATAAATAACCTTAACCAAAACCAGTAACACTCATACAAGTAACCCTAGAATACAAGTAACACCTACAAGTACCCCTGACAAAACCAGTAACACCTACAAATAACGTAACCCATGACCAAAATCAGTAACACCCATACAAGTAACCCTAGAATACAAGTAATACCTACAAGTAACTCCTGATAAAACCAGTAACATCCAACAAGTAACCTTTGTTGCACCATGTGGCCAGCCGCATACAAATTTTTTTTTGTATAGTTTATTTTGTTTGTATTCCAAATAGATCTATGTACCCTAAATAAAAAATTAAGCAAACAATTTAGGATATCTTCAAGATAAAAATGATTGGATGGATATCTTAGTTGATTGGCTAAAATTTATGCCACGTGTCATATTTGTCTTGCTTACTTAGATTAAGCTACTCCCTTAAACCAGTTTCTTTCTTAAGAAAGCCACTCTCCTAAATATTAAAAATGGGTCCCATTGTCAGCTTAACATGTGACTTGTCCTGAGGATGATTGTTTTCTACTCTTATGCTGGAATTATGACGTGGCATTTTCATAGCCTAAAGCCCTAAACATTGTTATATTTCTCTTGACGTACGCATGTACCCCTTGTTAAATTTAAGAAACAAAATTTCATATTTGTTGTAGTATTGATGGAAAATGAACCACTATGATTGTGATCGTTTTTTATGTTTATCAATTTCTAATATCAATATAAAAACAAATATGAACTTTAATTTGATAAACTATCTTACTAAATTACCAGTAATATTCTAAGTATTTCCTTATAAGTTATAACATTGGGAAGATAGTTTATATAAGAAATAAGATGAAGATAGTTTTTTGTTGGATTCAAAATTAAGTACTTTAATTGAAATTTGAATGGTGTTTGTTTCATTATTAGATCATCTCATATAATGTCTATTTCTCTTATTTGAAACTGAACATAAGACTATGGCATAAATTTGCAATGCACTTGAATATTCAAAGGAAGTATAGTTAGATACAGTTTTTCATAATAGATCTCGATTCATGACCTTCTTATCATATCATATATAAATCTCCTACCAACCACGCTTAGTAATTTATTTATTTATTTATTTAAATAAACCAACTACACGGAGTGTTAACTATACTTCTTAAATTATCTACAATAGATTTTTGCCTAAGGTAGGTTCCTCTACTTCTTATATTGTTAGCTTAAATAAAAAAATTTAAAAAAATGAAAGATGTATAATATTATTTACAAATAAAATAAATAAGTAGTGTGTAAATAACTTAGTAATTTAGTATTGTGACTTTGTGAGTTTGTTAATATAGATTGGATACGTAGGTTGGTCCATGCAAGAACGTATATCGTCCACACAAGAATTGCCCCCACCAAATAAAAATAAATACGGAGTACTATTCAATTAACTTGCATAAAAACTAGTGTGCTACTCTCCCTTTCCTCCTAAATTCCAAGCTTCCATCTATTCTTCATCCTTTGCAAATTCCAGCTAATCATCTTATCAAGGTGAACTTCTCCCTCTTTTTTGTAATTTATGTTTTAATCTTGTTTATATTATACTAATTTATCATTTTCTAGCTTATTGTTCATACATTAATGTAATTCTATTTGATTATGTTTTATGTTTGTAGCGATTGTAGTAGATAATTTACTTTTTTTTTATTAGTAGTTGACAAATATGTTTCTTCCCATTCATTTGTACAAGTTTATGCTAAAGATTTAGGTAATTATATAACCCTTCATTTGTAAAAGCTCAACTTTTAGGACTCAATGCATACTTGAAAATCTATGTATAATTGCTAGAGTTTAATAAGCCTTTAGTTAAGATCTGTGCTAGATAGGTTTAAATCGATGTTTTTCGATGTTTTAAGGTTAGAATTTCGGCCATTCGAGTAACTTTTTGTAAAATGTACTGTTTCATAGAGTTCCTCGTTATGCTTTCCTATAACAAATTTGGTTACTTGTGGTGTATTTATGCAAGTATTTAAGGCAGCATCTTGTAACCTATGTTCGTAGGATATTATGTAACAATTATATGATTAATGGTGTATTTCCTTGTTAACATAGATGATGCCTAAATCTTCTGATGTAATTTCATTTTCAGCTAATCATCAAGTGTGAAACAAAATCATGAGTACGCCATCCTCAAGTAATCCTCGACGACGTTCTCTTACTATGGAGAGGACGGTCTCTCCTGCTATGCAAAGGACTGGCCAATGGTATTTTGATCTCCTCCAAAAAAAAAAAATACATGTGTAGGGTTATTTTTTTATAATTTAGGCTAATTGGCTTTTATTTACTGTGATGACAGGGTATTCTCTCAAGATATTCCTACTGATATCGTTGTTGATGTTGGAGAAGCTTCTTTTTCTCTTCACAAGGTACTAATAGGCGGATCATATACTTTGTTCTTTTCGCCTTTCTAAATTCTCTAGTAAAATAACTTCTGATTGATAGGCTACAAGAGTTTAAGGTGTATGAACATTGTGTGATTAGCTATATGATTATTGATACGCTGTATGTCTATATAAGAATTTAAAGTGTAAGAACATAGTCTGATTAAATTAGCTAAACAATTTTACAATAATTTCCAATTTGTTTCATTTACTAATAATTTGCACAATATATTGTACGGAATAACCATATAGACTTAATCTGATTGCTTAGATGGTTTCGAATAAAAAAAATTGTTGTCCGTTGCAAAGCCATACGAGAACAATCAACAAAAAATTTCGAATCTGACATAATATATTTTGTGCAGCTAAACAAACTAGAAAGGTCAATAGTTGATACTGCTTTAAATTCTAAATGATTATATTCTCTGATCTCTGCTTTTGTTCTGTTCAGATCATAATAAATAAGCTTATTATAGAAATATATAACAAGGTCTAATTGCCTATGTTTTTGTGGGATGACAGTTCATGTTAGTTGCAAAGAGCAACTACGTACGAAAACTAATATTGGAGTCTAAGGAGTCAGACCTAGGAAGAATCGATTTGTCGAATATCCCTGGAGGAGCTGAGGCGTTTGAGAAGGCTGCAAAATTCTGTTACGGCGTAAATTTTGAGATAACAGTTCATAATGTAGCATCACTCAGGTGTGCTGCAGAGTATCTGCAGATGACAGACAAGTCTTGTGAGAACAACCTTGCTAGTCGAACTGAGGACTTCCTTTGTCAAGTAGCCTTGACTAACCTCTCTGGAGCTGTCATTGTTCTGAAGTCTTGTGAAGATCTTCTTCCTATGGCTCTCGACCTCAATATTGTTCAGAGAAGTGTCGATGTTATCAGTGCTAAGGTTCGACATAACTTCCCCTACTTAGTCGTGTTAAATTATACTTCGTATTAGTAGACTATGTTGTCAAGAACAAAAATCTCAGTTAGCTTGATTAGGAACTATGTTTAGTATTTCTATCGCGGTATAATATTGGATAGAAAAGTATAAGATCTGCACCATCATATCATAACATGCCATACAGATTGTTCGTGTCTGTTAGTCTAATTTTTCGAGTTTAAAGTGTTTTTCTTAATGTGTACGAGTATCCACTTAGTGGACTTTCGCGATCTTTACTTAAATTATGTCAAATTTAGTCTGATCAGGCTCATAGGTTATGTGTTATTATCTGATATTACCTAAATTTGTTGTTCATTTACATAAATCCATGATTAAATCTGTATATTTTTGTTTTGTTTTGTGTGATTTCAGGCGTGCAATGAGGCTAACTTTCCTAGCCGTACACCACCAAATTGGTGGACAGACGAGCTATCAATCCTCGATGTAGCCTCATTTCAGAAAGTTATTACAGCCATGAGATTACGCGGGGCAAAATCTCTAACCATATCAAGTGCAATCATCACATACGCCGAGAAATCTCTTAGGGACTTAGTCAGAGATCACTCAGGAAACGGGATCAAATTCTCAGACCCTGCAAACTCTGAGTTGAGAATCCAACAACGCGAACTCCTTGAGTCTATCATCTCCCTCTTCCCCTCTGAGAAAGCTGCATTCCCTGTCCACTTCCTCTGTTCTCTTCTTAGATGCGCGATTTACCTTAAAGCATCTACAATCTGCAAGAACGAGCTCGAAAAGAGGATATCAGCTATACTAGAACATGTCACTGTGGATGATCTTCTGGTGTTGTCCTTCACATATGATGGAGAGAGCCTTTTTGACCTTGAGAGTGTAAGGAAGGTGATCTCAGGATTCGTTTCGAGGGAGAAGAGTGTGGATGTCTTCAATGGGGGTAACTTCAGAGAGGCTTGCTCTGCTTCCATGCAGAGAGTTGCTAGGACAGTGGATTCTTATCTTGGTGAAATTGCAACTTATGCAGCACTTAGTATTTCCAAGTTTAATGCCATTGCTAATCTTGTTCCTAAGGAGGCTAGGAGAAATGATGATGACCTTTATAGAGCAATAGACATCTATTTAAAGGTAATTATCCTTGGATCTAAATGCTAAGAACCATTACATGTTACGCTTTTCATAGATAATGCTAAAACATATTTTCCATCACATCATCTTTCGGCCTTTTTCTCTTCACCTTTTGTTAATTTTTATTGATTTAAACTATTACCTGTGTATGTATTTTGATTTTGGTTGTTGTTCCAATGTAGTCTCATCCAAATCTAGACGAGATTGAACGAGAGAAAGTGTGTAGCTCAATGGACCCTCTAAAGCTCTCCTATGATGCCCGAGTACACGCCTCACAGAACAAGCGACTCCCAGTCCAAATGGTCCTGCACGCCCTCTACTACGATCAGCTAAAACTAAGGAGTGGAGCCAATGACGGGGGATTACCTGAAGCAGTAGCAACACGAGGCCAATTACAAGCTGATGTCTCCTTAGCCAAGGAGAATGAGGCCTTAAAGTCGGAGTTGATGAAGATGAAGATGTACATTTCGGACATACAAAAAAATAAAGCGACAACCTCTAAAACAAGTACTAGTGCTGGTATGCCAAAGAAAACGTTCTTTTCGTCGATGTCTAAGACACTAGGGAAGTTTAACCCTTTCAAACATGGGTCTAAAGATACTTCTCATTTGGAAGATGAAGTTGATCTTACAAAGCCTAGGAGAAGAAGGTTTTCCATTTCTTAAAAGCATAAATATTACAGTATAAGTATATTACAATTTAGCTACTATTATTATTACTCACCATATATTAAAACCTTGGCACTTAGTTATAAATTTGTTATGTAAAACCAACTATAGGTGTGGAGGGAGCCCTCATTCATCTTCATGATAAACAAAATTTGTTTATCTAATGGCATTTTCGTAAATATATCAACAATTCATCCCAGTCATCATGGCATTTTTGTAAATAAGTGAACAACTATTATTAATATGCGGGTCCCACAAATGTTGCCTTATTTACGAAAATGTCATGCTGACTGGGATTTTTTGTTGATTTATTTACCAAAATGCCATTAGATAAACAAATATTGTTTATCATCAAGATGAACTTGTATTTTCTCATAGGTGTGATGTTAAGTATTGGTTTTGTATTGATTTTTTTTCCCTATTAACTAGAGTGGCATAGTGTGATTTGTGTAGAAAGTTTGAAACATTATGTGTATAGTTGGCTAAGTGATGATTTAGACTTGTTATATGATGATTCTCTTTGTTCAAATTCATTTGTTTCTTCCTAGACATTAATAATTACATAATTTTATCATTGCTTTGAATTTGCACCGCTTATTAATAACTATTTAGAAAAACTTGACCCAACCTGTCGTAATATTTTTTAAAAAAAAAAAAAAAGAGAGAGATCTAGATCGATGCCCAATTGTGATAACATCACTACTATTAAGTAGTCAAACATAATGTTAGAGGTGATATAAGATGTTGGAAAACATCTTATATAATCTCTAACACATAACAACAAAATTCCACAAAACATCATCACTCTGTTGTTCGTTGTAGGTTTCGATTTGGTAAATAAATTTTGTCTAAAAGCAAGACTTGATTAGATTAGCACTTTACAAGGTTAGGACGTGATACTATTTAGGTTTGTCTAGACCGTGCCCTACTGCATGACCTACTAGAACTGGCTTCGCTGCTTGCCCCAAAGTCTGCAGGGGCCTTAGGCGTTTTGGGGACAGGGTCCCGTTGAAATACGGAAGCAATCTTAACATTTTGAGTAGCACCCTGCCAAGCACAAAAGATATATGAGTATTGTTGAACAAAGGAACAACTACAATTTGTCATCATCAAAATTCTTAGAATACAACAAGTAGTACTCTTACATAACTACAATGTTCTAACATTTTGATGAGTTTTCATTCTAAGCATTGTAAAGCAGAGCAATAGGGGATTAAAATCGGAACACAACCATTATTAAATTGATGTAACATATCATGGAGATGGGAAAATTGTTGCATTGTTAAATAGAGAATTAATTGTCATACCATTTCACATATACAAGAACAGAATACAAAGAGATAAATGGAAAATTTTAAGTGATTCATATAAATCAGCATAGATGTAAATTAGCATTAGGATTAATAAAGTTGGGCAATTGAGCTAAGAGCCCTTAAGCTTAGAGGACCTATAACACCATCATTCAAAATTGAGGAGATGAGCATTTTCACATAGACCTAAATCTATGCATTGTGCTAAGTAGTTACTGAAAGGCTAGATGCAGACACAAACAACACTAGACACAAACTCATCACCACCTTATAGTCATGAAATTTGGCCTCGAAAAATCTGGTTCTTTCTTTATAATCTTCAGCAATATCAATCTTAGAGCAAAAAAGCACAGCAAAGGCCCTCCAAAATGGATTATCAAATGATCTACCAATCGATCTCTCATGTCCTTTACATATGTCATCGAGCAAGTCCAAAAACGGCATGTTCCAATCAGCCTCCTAATCTATTAACTATTACTAAAACAAAACATTGTTACATCATCAATTATGAAACAATCTTACGTGTCATTCTCACATTAATTTTTTTCCCTCTAATTTTATGTATGATGTCATCAATTATTAATGACTTTTTTTTAATTTTTAATCTATACTTTTGATTTTAATGCATAGATGTCTATATAAAATTCAATTAACCAAGTTTCTCTCCTAAATTATAATTTCACATACCTAATTTGTTTGATGTTTGATTGTGGTTACAATTTTATTTACTTTCCTTAAATTAAATGTAAGTAAATTATTTTTATATTTAATTCTAATCTTCATATACAATGTAAAACAACTTAATATAAATTTTAACTGTGCATCGTACGGTAATTTTAACCGTGCATCACACGGGCTAGTGCATCTACAATAGAAAATTATCATTATTAAATTATGGACTCTTTTTTGAATTATTAAATTATGGACTCTTTCCAAACTTACATTTGGAAGCTGTGAAGTTGAAGCACTGGTATGTTTCCGCTTTCGCTTTGGCTTTGCCTTCTGAGAAAGAAAATGGTTTGAGAGGAAATTTACAAATTAGTTATACACAAAGCCTAACATAGAAAATCACAAATTAACATACAACCACCGAAAATCAGAGATGAATACTTGCTTTTTAGATGTTCTTAACAAAAGACAGCAAACCTTCTTAGCTACACTAAATGCATTTAACAATAGTCTAAGAAACCCAGAATATAGTTGAAGAATTAAAGACCCAAAAAACCTAGAAATACCCAGAAGATGGGAAACCCACGAAATCAGCAAAACGAGCAACCCAGAAAGTGATTGAGCTAAATCTTAGAAACTTGAATAAATTTTGTGAGGAATAGAGAAGAATCAGACATAATTGAACAAATTTTGTGGACAAGAAAAATACCCAGAAAAGTTCAAACCCAGAAATTAGAAGAACACACAAAAAAGTGCGACATTTCGTTCAGCCATTTCACCGAACACCTTCTGTGCATGGAGAATTCCTTTCAATTCAGCAATGAAAGAAACCCAGCAGTAAAATCGATCATTACTTTATTAAAAGAACATTACTTCATAATTAACATGATGAAGAAGTTGAATGAATCAAACATAAATAATATTCTGAAATTTATAATCCCAAACATAACCTAAATTTGTTGGAAATAAAGAAAGGAAATTCAAAGGGTCAGATATGAGCGCCCGATCAGGCGCCCGACTGGGCGCCCAACCGAACGAGACCCGCCCGATCAGGCGCGAGAAGAGTCGTAAAATTCTGGAGTTCCACCGCCCGATTAGGCAAGATCTGCCCGATCGGGCGCCCGACCTGGCGCGAGAAGACATCAGGAAAAGGGAGTGTTCGCCCGATCGGGTGAGATCCGCCCGATCGGGCGCGTGTTTGTCCGTTGGACTCCAACGGTTCCCTTGGATTCCTCTTCTTGTTTGATTTCTTGTAACTCCCCATTTAAAAGGTTGATTATGGTGTTGTTAATGACCATAATATTTCTGATTTTCTCTTCTTTGTTCATAGAAGATTTCTCCATGATGTTTCATCTTCTTTATTCATCTCTATAAATTGGAGGATGTTTTCTGATTTTTATATACACAAGAAATACTTATCAAACACAAGCTTGCTTAAACACATACTCTATATTGGGCATAAGTTACTTGGCTCCAACCTTCCACCCAAAAGTGCCTTTGTGTGGAAGTGGTGTGTTAACCTTAGGGAATTGAACGTGCCGGCAAATACAATAGTGCACCCCGGTTGCGCCAGAATTTCGTTTTTAAGTCAGTGATTTGCATCACGACACACCGTACTCTTTCATTGTCTCAAGATCATCTTTTCGATCTTCTAATTTTAGAATATAGCCTTGAAAATACTTCTTATATTACAACAAAATTTACTTGAACTATTTAGACAAACTGATTCATTACTACAATCTACACCAACTACAATCTACACCAAGTCACCAACAACCAAAAACATAAATTATAAATAATAATAAAACTTATAATAATTCGCAAAAAAAAAAAAAAAAAAAAAAAAAAAAAAAAAAAAAAAAAAAACCCACAATTGAATCGGCAGAGCTACTGCTACTTCCCTTCTTCTATTCTATTTTTCTCTTGAGAGCCATGTAGTTGAGTTAATGCATGTAGTTGAAGTGTTAACTCCTTTTTCGACAGAGAGAAAAGTCAGAGAGATTTTGAATATACGAAGTAGGTCAGCTAGGTAATAATGGCACAATGAATAGGAATTTTTTCATTTCAATTTACTTGCAATATTGTAAATGAATACGCTTACCGATACATATTTTGACTGTTAATATCTTTTATTATATGCTTATAAAAATTTTATATTAAAAAAATTATACATTAAAATTTTAAATAGACCCAACCACATATTACATGATTACATTGTCTTTCATATAAGTAATAGTTACAAAAGAGGGTCAAAGTGAAATGTGTGAATAGTGCAAAAAGTCAAAACGTTATGAGTAATTTGTGACGGATGGAGTAATTTTTATTATTTTAAGTCAATTTTCTTAAATTTTAAGTCCAGTTTTTTTGTTTCGGACAATTCATATATTCGGGAAAAAATCGAATACGGATATCCGAAAATATACTCTATTTTCAATTTTTCTTTTAAAAATAATTAAAATTAGACGGACCAGATATCCGAAAATATCTGATCAGAAAATTTTGAATACTCGTTTCTTCCGATCGGGTATGCATCGCAAAAATTTCAATCCTAAATTTTTTCGTTTCAAAAATGCCCGCCCCTACTTTTTTGCACTTCTAATTTTTATTTTTTGGGACTTTTATAAAATCCAATCACTTTAATTCAAATCCAAATTATTAATTCATTTCTAAAACTAGAGATTAGGATAGAAGGGGATTAGGATACTAGGGGTTATGTTGTTTGATGTAGGGGTGTTAAGAGCTTTGTTAATTAGTTTATTATGATTGATAGGACAATTTCTTCCATATTTTAATTTGATGATATAAAATACTAGTGGCGAAGCCAAGATTTTGACAATGGTAGGGCACTGTACCATTGAAACCCTTTATCAAGTCTTAAATTTTATCTATGACTAAGATTCAAAATTATTACTTAATAATCGTGTTTATCAAACCTTTTTTATTCCAAAATCCATGAAACATTACCCCCAATTTAAGGATTTAAACCAATGACCCTGTTCTTTTTTTTTTTTTTTAAGATCTTTTAAAATATTATAGGTTCAGATCAAAATCACTAGATAGATTTTGCGTATTAAATTAAATAGCATGATCCAAAACACCGTTACAAGGATTTGTAACTACTAATCCAGGTGTGCACTTATCATGTTAAAAGAAATATTACAATTAAACTTAGGGTCTGTTCCGATACGATTATTTTCAGTTCAGTTCAGTTCAGCTTCTAATTTCCTTCTCCTATAAAATATTTATTTCATTTCAGTTAAGTTAGCTCAGTTCAGTCAATTAGAATAGGCCCTTAATGATTCTTCAAGCTTTATTGTTATTTGGAATGGGACATTAAGAGTAAAAAATAAATAAAGAAAAAAAAAGTAAAATTAAAAAGGACCAAAAAAAAAAAAAAACAGAGAGAGAGAGAGATAAATATAAAATAAATGGTTGGGTAAAAGATTAGAAGTTTAGAACCCATGACTTTTGATGCACGAGGAAACGCTCCAACCACTAGGCTATTAGTAAGTTTATACAGAATAATGCAATTTGTATTCTATTTAAATATAATTTAACTAACTTTTTTTTTTCCTGGTGTGCCCTACTAGGATTC